TTAAAGCTTCAAATGCAAGGGATCCACTGTAGTTGATCATTTCCATTCAAGAACTAAGAGAAGTTGCCCATAATAACCTTGCTTTATAATCCATGTGATCCATCACACTATTAACAGATATCTCGTGTATTTAATGACTTTCGAATGTCATAATATTTGGATTACATTGTATGAAAAAAATCACTAAACTTAAAAAAATCAGAGAGAACGATATAAATTAGTGACAGGATAATTTTCTCCTAACTTTATTTATTTCAAGTAGCAATGTTGCCAAGTAAATACTATTTGTAAAGAATACGTTATTTGTATACGAATAGAAGCTGTTCAAATGGTTTTAAGAGTGCTTGAATAATTTTTAAACATGATCAATTTTCATCCTTTAAGTTTAATGATCAATATTAGTGATTATTTTTCATATTTAGCCTTGACCTCAATGAATTTTTACAAAAACCAGTCAGCAGGATCCAGATTAATGTGATTTAACTAATACTGGGATAAATAAGGACTGTCCCCTTTTCCCTGCCAAAGGATTATTTTCTAGACCTCTTTCAATGTGACTACTAAATGAATATATCTAAAATTTTATTAGCAATTGTTCAACTTATACTCAAATCAGGAAGTTATTTAAATCACATCAGATAAAAGCTTGTGTGACCTAACCTATCATATGCATGTCATGAATACTTTCAGAAAAGAATCAATTCAATATATGTCAAGGATATACCTATTTGAATAAAATGTATGTTTAAATGTCTCATTGTACAGAAAAAAAAAGAAAATAATCAGTCAGGCTTCATATCAATTAGACAACTTTTACTAAATGAGAAAACTACATTTAAAATGTGCTTTAAAACAAAATGGAATTAGAAAAAAAAAGACATATGCATTTTAAAGAACTTTTGCACTGTGCTGGAAATCAAGTATCTTGCAGTAATACAATGCGCCAATTCATAAAATGTTAACAGAATTCTCAATTTAACATTTTCAAAGACAATATTAAGGTCAAGAATTTGACATCTATGGTAGCACATATAGAAGGGCATTTTAAATATGATGTCCATCCCTATTAAGCTTACAAATTTGACAATGCTCAATAAAAGCTTTTAGAATCACATCCAATAGTGTCACATCCAAAAAATCACAAATCTGTGTCCTGTAAATTCTCCTTCTAAAATCTTTATGTTGACTTTTTTACTCCTTGCCATTTGTTAATACTAACCCTTAAAAAAAAGAGAACAGGAAAAGAAATGCTGCAATAAACTCTTGATCATGTACAGAAATTATTGCTACTATAGTTCACTACAAAGCATGTCTATACAATATCATATGACCTTTGATTATGAAAAATCAGAATAAAAATCTTTAGTGACATAAGCCTTACAATCGTATACAACATTCACATGGCAATATTAAACAGTTAAGCACCCAATACCCATAGTTGACAAAATGTCCCACTGACCAGCATTCATTTAAATACATCCTTTGTATATAAGGAAGAAAAAAAGAGATAGTATGTCAGCTTTCCAAGGCTTGTCAAAAAAGGATTTTCATGTATGTGGATCTAAAAACAAATAAACAAACAAACAAAAACAACAAAAACCCCAAAAAACAAAACCAATGCAGGTGAAGGTGTTACCAGAAAGTTAAGCATGCCAAAGGTGTTTCGTGCGAATTAAAACCTAAAGCCAAGGTACCACATAATCACATTACCAACTAGTTGGGTAAATACTATATGAACCTTATCTTAAAGTTAAATGAAATGCTACTGCACAGAGCATCAATAAGTTAAAAATTAGAGTGCACAAATCCAAATCAGTGGCAATTTCTGTATGAAGCAAAATATTCACTATGAGCTGTAAAGTTTGCCCAGTCAAACTGATTAAAATCATTGGATTGGACAGTTTGCCTATTTAAAAAATGATCAACCTCTAAAATTCCTTTTTACTGTAATAAAAGGAGGCGTAAGTTTTCTTAGTAAGATCAAACAGGTACATAAGTAGATCAGCAAGGGAAAATAATAGTTGGTGAATGTCTTTAAAGCTCTTCCCATATTTCACTTTTAAAAATGTTTAGGGAAAAAAAATTGCCATTATTAGAGCAAAAACAAAAAACAAAACAAAACAAGCCCAAAATAATTAAACAACCAAGCAACACTAAAACCACATTACACAGATGGATCGTCATGCTTTCATCTGGTTTAACTATCACATCTAGTTTAACTGGGATGCTTTTCAACTTTAAAAATTGTGATACATGAAGATGTAATTTTAATGGATAATTCTGAATTTGGATTTAACTTTGTTGAATATTATAACAGAGTATACTTATTACAATACAGTGTAGCACATCTTTCTATTAGAAAAAAATTTAAGATCCTTTACCCGTCTCCTTAAGTTAAAGGTGTGACATCATAAAGGGTGTCAAATGGCTGGATGGTTTTACAGTGCACACTTATATATTATGAAGTATGTCCTTAACAAATCTGATGGTTTCTTTACAGAATTCCTTTCTTCACCTTTTCTTCGGTGGATTAGCTGTTCGAGGTGGAGTGACAGGACGTCCAGAATTCAGTCCACCATACTGGTATTTAGCTTTCTTTTCGGATGGTTTCAGTATCTTATGGGAAATAATGTATTAATAAACAATGTTATTCTTTCAAGTGCAATAAGGTTCAAGAAGACTGTTCCAATGGTAGATCTTTTTCAATAAATGGCATAAAATATAGAACAAAACAGCAGAGTTCCATAACATTCCTTAGATTTAAAGTGTGCAAATGTCTGAACTGCTATTTGTCATTCCATTCATATTGTAGTAACAATAGGTTGAGTACACTAACCCTATCAACTACTCAATCCTTAGATTTAAGTATAAAATTTTTCAAATTAGTATATCTCTGTGGTGAGGAAAAGAACACTGGTTTAAGAGTCAAAAGATCTAGGTTCTCATCATAGTTCTGACACATTAATTCAGAAGGGTAATCAATCTTCTCCAAGTCACAAACTCTTCAGACCTGATTTTTTATGTATAAATAGATCTTTTTATTAAAAAACTTTATATATTGATATATCACCTATTTAAAGTGTACAAGTTGACGGTTTTTTAGCATATTTACAGTTAAACAACCAGTACCACAATCTAATTTTACGACATTTTTGTCAGCCCCAAAAGAAATCTCGTTCCCATTAGCAGTCACTCTCCATTCCTACTCTCCACCTCCCCACAACTCCTCAAAGACTAAGCAACCACTAATCTACTTTCTGTCTCCATAGATTTGCCTATTCTGGACATCTCGTATAATTGATATCATGGAGTATGTGGTCTTTTGTGGCTGGCTTCTTCCACTTAGGTTTTCAAAGCTCCCCCAGGCTGTTAGCTTGTATCAGTACTTTGTTTCTATTTATTGCTGAATCATATTCCATTATATGGACGAATATTTTGTTTATTCACTTATCAGTGGGACATTTGAATTATGTACACTTTTTGGCTATTATGAATAATGTTGCTATGAACATTCATGTACAAGTTTTTGTGTGGACAAATGTTTTCATTTCTCTTGGGTATAAAAGTGAAACTTTTGCATCACATGAGAACTCTGTTTAAATTTCTATGCCACAGCACTGTAGCCCAGGCAACAGAGCGAGACTGTCTCCCACAAAAAAAACCAAACCGAAACAG